GTCTCCTGGTTCAAGCTGACTTCAGTAGACATCTTATCATAACATAGCTTCATCGAATCAGCAGACGTTTACAAGTTTGAATGCACTTGATGGTGAATATCATCCATCCTTTCAGATAAGACTATCACGAACTCTAACACATTTTCAGGCAACTCTTCATAAAGTGGGTGTCCTGTTATCAGGTCCACTGGCAACCGAAGTTCGTGACCAAACATCAACTTTGCTGGAGTGTATCCAGTGGCTTCATGCTGTGCTGATCTATAGGCCATCAACAGTGGAGGGAGTAAGACATCCCAGTCATCTTGGCAGCTATTACAAAATTTTGCCAATTCCTGTCCCAGTGTCCAGTTGTACTTTTCTACCATCCTATCAGACTGTGGGTGAAGTGGCGTTGTCCTGGTCTTTCGTACGCCAAACAACTTGCAACATTCATGGAACACAGCTGATTCAAAGATATGGCCTTGATCTGAATGCAGTTCTCATGGCATACCAAATCTTAAGAAGAAATCACTAATAGCTGAAGCTAGAGCTGTAGCTTTCTGATTTGGTATTGCATATGCCTCAGGCCACTCGGTGAAATAATCCATCACCACACAAATATACCTGTTTCCAGCACGAGATTGGGGCAAAGGACCAGCAATGTCAATGGCTACTCTTTCCATGGGTGTGCCAACTTTATATAACTTCAATGGAGCACGACCCTTATGCTTGGGTCCCCTTTTAGCACAACATGTACTGCATGTCCTGCACCATTCTTCCACATCTTGCTTGATATCTATCCAGTAAAATATCTGTCGTAGGTGACTCAATGTTTTCTTCACTTCGAGATGTCCTCCTGTTAAACTATCATGAGATTGATGTAGCACAACTTCCCACAACTTTTTCGGTATAACCGTTTGCCAGGTCTCCACTTGCCCATCTGCAGTTTCCCATCTCCGGAGAAGAATATTATCTTCAAGCTTCAATTGGTCTCATTGTGCCCAATAGTTATTTGTCTCAGGGCTTAGACTAGACAGTTTCTCCCAAGCAGAGTGCAAAACACTTGCTTTTAGAAAATCAATTATTAGTACAAGAAGCCATACAGAAGCTCTGTGGTGTGACATGACATTCTGCAAAGTTGTGGAGACCAGTGTGGGTAACTATTGAGCTCATAGGCATGAAGGACAGACACAAAGTATACTTGGCTGACATTGAAGACCAATGCATATGAGGGTTGTGCTACTTACTACCGAGGAAGTTTGTAATTAAGTTTGATAAAATGACGTTTGGGAACAACAAAGGCTAAATTCGGTAACTGTTAAAAGAGAGGTTGAACTAACTAGGTACCATCAAGCTGAAGTCAAGGTGACTGAAATAGTTGATGATGCTGAAGTGGAACCAGGTATAGATATTAAAGCAGAACAAGAGAAAGACCAAGATTTGAAGCCTATAATTGATTTTCTAAAAGCAAATGTTTTGCACCCTGCTTGGGAGAAGGTGTCTAGTCTGATACAACACTCCTCCAATTCCGACATTACTAGCATCACAACCTAGTATGTATGGCAGTTA